TCGCCTCCATGACAAGAAGTCAACTTCCGCCCCTGCGAGATCGACGCGACGCCCTGGAGGGGGCGACGCCCCCTCCACACGCCAAGACCGCTCGCACATGCAGCATATGGCTCGCCGCAGGAGGCGCGGCCTCCTCCGCGCGTGAATAAAAGATCATATTGCAGGAGATATGCGCCTCCTCATGGGGCAACATCGCGCCGTCGTCGTCATTAAGATGTACGCGTCGCTACAGATTTAGCGACGATCGTCGCTAAATTTTAGCGTCGACGCTAAATTTAAGGCCGACTACTAAATATGCAGATGCACTAAATAAGCATAGATGGATTTACATGGTGGGAAGACGAAGAACACGCAGTGGCCTATAGTTGGCTCCGGGCATTCAAAATGCGGCCTGGGAAAAGTGTTCTGGGAAGACGAAAAACACGAAGTGGCCTACAGTTGGCTCCAGGCATTCACAATGTGGCCTGGGAATGGTGTTCTGGGAAGACGAAGAACACGAAGGGGCCTGCAGCTGGCTCCGGGCGTTCAAAATGTGGCCTGGGAATGGTGTTGTGGAAACACGAAGAGTAGGAATCCATAGGAAACTATAGGAATCTATAGGAGTCCTGGGGAGTCCCCAGGTTCCCCGGCTTCTCCCGGCACCCGCCCAGACCCCCCTGGGAAGTCAAGATGTTTTTTTTTTAGCCCACTAGAAACCTATCAGTCTTCGCTGTTAGGTGAATATTCAGTGAATTTTTTGCTCTAGCATAACACTTTTTCGCGAGACCCTTGCCAAAAAACGGGACGAAGTGCACGCGCGCGCGTCGTCGCGCGCGCATGCCGAAATCCTTCGAAAACCTTCGGTGCCGGAAGGATTTCGCAATTGAGTTTCCAAAAATCATACAAGTATCCCGGCAAAGCAACCGAACAGCGATGTGTATAAGCATATCTGGAAGCTTAAGATTCAGGTGAGAATCCAGTTGTAGAATTCTGCTGTTCTCGCAGTCGCAATCGATTTCGCAATGACAGTCGCAGTGGCAACGGCCTTAGGATCCAATGGAATCCTAAGGATTCCTAGGGATTCCTGAGGCATCCTCGGACATCCTCAGGAATCCATAGGAGTCCGTGGGAAACCTTAGGAATCTTTAGGAATCTTGATTCCTAAGGATTCCAGAGGATTCCTAAGGATTCCTACGGAATCCTCAGGATTCCTACCTGAGCCTGCCTCGGCCTCAGCCTCAGCCTGCCTCAGCCTCAGCCTGCCTCAGCCTCAGCCTCAGCCTGTCTCAGCCTCAGCCTGCCTTAGCATAAGCCTCAGCCTCAGCCTCAGCCTGCCTCGGCTTGCCTCGGCCTCAGCATGAGCCTGCCTCGGCATCAGCCTCAGCCTCAGCCTGCCTCAGCCTCACCCTCAGCCCGCCTCAGCCTCATCCTGCATCAGCCTTAGCCTCAGCCTTCCTCAGCCGCAGCTTGCTTCAGCCACGGCCTCAGCCTCAGCCTCAGCCTGCCTCAGCTTCGGCCTCAGCCTCAGCCTGCCTCGGCTTGCCTCAGCCTCAGACTCAGCTTCAGCCTGCCTCAGCCTCAGTTTCAGCCTGCCTCAGCCTCAGCCTGCATCAGACTCAGCCTCAGCCTGCCTCGGCCTCAGCCTGCGTCAGCCTCAGCCTCAGCCTGCCTCAGCCTCACCCTGCCTCAGCCTCGGCCTCAGCCTGCCTCGGCGTGCCCCAGCCTCAGCCTCAGCCTGCCTCGGCCTCAGCCTGCCACGGCCTCAGCCCGCCTCAGCTCGGACTTTCCAAATATGGCACAGGACTAATGTTCTGGGAACATGAAGATTACGAAGTGGCCCATAGTTGGCTCCGGGCAATCAGAATGTGGCCTGGGAATGGTGTTCTGGGAACACGAAGAACACGAAGTGGCTTACAGTTGGCTCCAGGCATTCAAAATGTGGCCTGGGAATGGTGTTCTGGGAACGCGAAAAACACGAAGTGGCTTACAGTTGGCTCCAGGCATTCAAAATGTGGCCTGGGAATGGTGTTCTGGGAAGACGAAGAACACGAAGTGGCCTACAGTTGGCTCCGGGCATGCAAAATGTGGCCTGGGAGTGGTGTTCTGGGAAGACGAAGAACACGAAGTGGCCTACAGTTGGCTCTGGGCATTCAAAATGTGGCCTGGGAGTGGTGTTCTGGGAAGACGAAGAACACGAAGTGGCTTACAGTTGGCTCCGGGCATTCTAAATGTTGCCTGGGAATGGTGTTCTGGGAACGCCCAGGGATCCCAAAGAATTGTTAAGGATTCCTAAAGAATCCTGGGGCTGACACTTTTGTCCGGATCTGTCCGGACCCCGCCCAGACCCCCTTGGGGCGTCAAGGTGCTCTCTTTTGAGCCCACTAGAAACTTATCGGCAAAAGTTGTTAGGTAAAACACACACGGTTCCGCAACATTGGTTTGCTAAAAAAGCTTCCGCGCGAGCTCTTGCGAAATCTCAGGAAAACCACAGTTTGTTCAAGAGTTTCACCAAATGATACCAAACGGGCCTCGCGCGCGCGCGTGTCGAAATCTGTCGAACGCCCTTGCGCGTGTGCCGTCGCGAGAATCCTCTACAAAAAAATGAGACGAAGTGCAGGCGCGCGTCGTCGCGCGCGTATGCCGAAATCCTTCAAAACCCTTCGGTTTCGGCAGGAGTTCAAAATCGCGTGTCCAAAAACATACAAAATCACAAGGTTTCAAAAAGGGTTTTTCAAAATCACACAATGGTACCAAACGGGCCTCGCGCGCGCGCGCATGTCGAAATCTGTCGAACGCCCTTGCGCGTGTGCCGTCGCGAGAATCCTCTGCAAAAAACGGGACGAAGTGCAGACGCGCGCGTCGTCGCGCGCGTATGCCGAAATCCTTCAAAACCCATCGGTTTCAAAAGGATTTCAAAATCGTGTGTTCAAAAAACATAGAAACACACAAGGTTTCGCAACACGGATTTTCAACAAAAGCGTGCGCGCGCGCTCTTGCGTCGTCGTCGTCGTCGCCGTCCTCCCTCCTCCCGCGTCGTCGTCGTCGTCGTCGCCTACGTCGACCTCTGTCTTTTCTCGTGTTCGTCGTCGTCGTCCTCTTTGGCGTCGTGGTCGTTTCCGTCGTCGATTGTCGCCGTGTCCCGTCTTCCTCCTCCTCCCTCGTCGTCGTCGTCGTCCGCGTCGGCGTCTCGTCGTCGTCCCTCCTATTTCGTCGGTCATCGTCTATCGGTCGTCGTCTATCGGTTCCGTCGTCGACTTCCCATCCTCCCTCGTCGATGCGTCGTGGCGTCGCCGGTCCTTCCTCCTTCTCCACTTCGTCGTTCCCGTCGTCGCCGTCCTCGCCTCCCCCTCGTTGTCGTCGTTGTCCATCGTTTGTCGCCGTCGTCGTTCTTCCTCCATCCCCTTCGTCGTCTCCCGTTGGAGCGACGCGTCGTCGTCTTCGTCGTCGTCGTCTCGTTGTCGTCCTTCGTCGTCGTCTACAGATCGGAAGCGTCGTCGTCGCCGCCGTCGTCGTCGTCGTCGTCGGCGTCGGCGTCGTTGACGTCGTCGTCGTCGGTGTCGTCGTCATCGTCGTCGTCGGCGTCGTCATCGTCGTCGTCGTTGTCATCGTCGTCGTCGTCGTCGGCGTCGGCGTCGTCGTCGTCTTCGGTGTCGTCGTCGTCGTTGTCGGCGTCGTCGAAGTCGTTGGAGACGTCGCCAGTGTCGTCGTAGTCGTTGTCGTCGTCGTCGTTGTCGCTGTCGTCGTCGGCGTCGCTGTTGCTGCCAAGTGCCATTTGGTACCCACCCTCTCGGTCTTAAGAGATGTTCCGAACCAAGTTGCGGGTGGGTGGGTGGGATGTTTGCGCGGAGCGGTGGAGTGGACAGGTCACATGCGAACAGAAATTAGTTGCCAACCACATAGATTGCGCCACATCCAATGCATTGCACAAATTGCACCACCAAGAAGCATCACATGGATCGCACCAAAAAGGTTGCACTACACAGTGCAAGTTCCTATAACCTGTAATATAGGTATAATATGTGTTATATATATATAACATATATAAATACATATATATATAGATATATATTATATATATATATAATATATATATATATGATAATTATAATATATAATATTATATCAGTACATACATATATTTGAGTAGCCCCCCCCCACATGATCATACAGTTTCGTCTTTACCGCGGCCGCCGATCGATATCTTCTTTCTCCGTTCCCTTCTCCTGTCTTTTCCTTTCTCTCCTCCTCCTCTTCTTCCTCCTCCTCCTCCTCCTCCCCGTGCTATTCATTCTCGGAATCATCGAAATCGTCAGAAACTAAAGAAAACCTTCAAGAACAAAAAAAAAGATCTCTGTAGAATCTCTGGGAAGGCTGGTGGCCAAAATTCGCCAGAAAACATAGTTTGTTTGGTTGTTTGGGATTTTTTGTTTTTTTGTTTTTTTTTTTTTAATATGTTTTGAAGGTTTTCTTTGATTTTGGCGATTTCGCTAATCTCGCCTCCTCCTCCTCCTCCTCCTCAGTCTCCTCCTCCTCCTCCTCCTCGTCCACCCCCTCCCCCTCCTCCTCCTCCTCCTCCGCCTCCACCTTCTCCGTCTTCTCCTCCCGCTCCCCTCCTTCTTCTCCTCCTTCCCCCCTCCCCCTCTTCCGTTATGCCGCCGGCCGTCAGCATGGGGGTAGGCACCGCAATTCCACCGATTGCTATCCAATCTGTCGCAACCATTGCGTTGCTATGTTTCCAGGCGGAGCGCGCGCACAGAGGTCTACAAAAGATGGTGGTTCATACGTGCGCGCACGCATCGCACCGACTGCCATCGGCTACGACGGCGTCGTGCATCATGCGCGCTCGCATGGCGCGGCCGCCTCCTCAGTCAGCCTCGCTGCGGCGCGCCGTCGCCGACTCAGAGGGCGGCTCCCCCTCGTCAAGCACGCGCGCGAGCTCTGCCGACAGACCGTCGTCATCCTCGACGTCGATCGTTTCACTGTGGGCCGAGGCGGCAATGGAAGCGAAGATCGCCCTCTGCTCATCGGCATCCACGGGCGACAACGGAACACCGCAGCCCATCATGAGCCCCCTCGCCCTCTTCACTGGCGGAGGCGAGGACAAGTCCTCGAACGCACCGCGGTGCGCCTTGGCGAGGCTCTTGAAAATCGCGAGCTGCTCGTCCTGGTCCTCCTTGGTGAGCTCGCCGCAACGCCCAACGATGTTGGGCTGCGCGGAGCTGGCGGCGCGCGAGCTGTCTTCTGGCGGTTCGTCCATTCCGCCGCCGCAGGCGAACACGTCCTCCTCCTGGGACAACTCGGCTGGCGGCTGGGAAAACGCCGAGGCGGCCGCGGCCTTCTGGCGGAGCGCTGGCCGCGCCTGGATCGAACCCTGAAACGTTGCCGACAGCGGAGACAACGCGCGCAGGGCCATCGCCGAAGATAGGAGCAACATGGACAGTCGCAATAGTGGGCACGTCAAGGCCCGCGACCACATCGCTCATGTACACAATCGACCAAGCCTTCTTTTCGGCGTAGTCTGAGGGGAGCGGGCGGATGGCTGGCGACGTCGTGTCCCGCACTTCGCTGACGAAGAGGTCGGGGCTCCTGGGGTTGGGCCACGGCATGAACTCTGCACCATCCTGCAGGTTGGCGGATGCCGCGCGCCAATGCACGCCGAGGTCCGTCACCACGATGACGTGCGCCCTGGCGAGGATGGCGTTGAAGTCCTCCTCTGTCCTGACACCCCCCAGAGACGGCGCGATGATGCGCTTGAGCAGGTCGAGGCCGTGCCTGGTTAGCGTCGCGGCATCCAGCGCCGCCTTCTCCGCGTCGCGGTCGTAGGGGTTCGCGACGGCCTGTCTGCGCGACCCTTGCTCGAAAGCGCAGCCGCCCCACCGAGCCCACAGCAGGGCGTCCTCTTCCTGGGGTTTCAAGATAGCCGTGAGCACATCAGCGGATACCTTCAAGCGGCCAAGCGTTCGCCCGATCACCAACGCCACCGCGACTTCCACTTGGGAGGGCGATGCGGTGGGAAGAACCGCAGCCCCCCTGGAAGCCGCGGGCGGCAATGGCGTGGGCCACGCCAGGCCACCGAACATTCTGAAGCAGGCCGTCGTCGAAAATGCCAGGGAGGATTTCCGTCGTCGGCTCGCCCTTGAAGAAGTCCATGTACTTCGCCGTCAGGAAAGCGATCTCATCGGCGGTGCCCTTCTTCTGTATGCTGCGCGCCGAATGAACCCAAGCAAGCGTCTTCGAACCGTTGCTCTTGCCAACTCTGGACTTTCCGACCCACACCATCCCGCGCACGTGGAGCGCGCCAATCATCAGGCGGAGGACGCCATTGAGGAACCAGCCAGAGAAGTCTTTCAGTGTCAAACTCCAGCGCGAGATCGGTTTGGCATTCGTCCTGCCTTTCTGGCAGTTGCGCAGCGCAGTCTCCACCTTGGACGCAGGCCATCCGGATATCTTCGAACCCTCCCTGTTGACCGCTGCGTCAGCCCATTCCATGAACTGGTTCCTGTTATTGCCGCGGGGGCCGTGTTCACGGATGAACGTGTGACCTTGCGCGCGCTCGCCCTCCTCTAGCGGCTGCTTCCGCTCGTGCTGCGGCTTGATCGTGAAGTACCTTGCGGTGGGGGCGCTGGATAGGCATACATTCGGTGGGAAGCCCAGGGGGTCCCGATCGCTGGGTCGCCACATATAGGGCGCTCAAATCGTTTTGAAGCACGGGGCGGGGGACCGCGCCTGAGTTGGGGCGGGCAGGGTGGGGATCCTTATCCGAGCGCGCCCACCGTATTTGATAGCCCTCGAGCTTCTCCAGCATGAACTGGAACGCAATCGACCCCGTCCGAAAGTTTTTGCCGTAGTCGATGTTGTGGGCCTCTCCGCGAGCACATTCGAGGACGGTCGCAGAATCGACTCTGTTTTTCTCGAAAGAAACGACCTTGAGGATGCGGTATGCCGAACACTCGCTGTCTTCTGGCTTCTGGCGAACGACGAAGATCGGCATCGTGTACAGGACGACGGGCTCCTGCTTGAGCGGCAGCAGCTCCTGCAAATCCTTGAACTTACCCCGTGCGCACAACTCGTGCACCTTGTCGAAGTCAACCGGGCCCTCGTAGTTGGATGCCACGTCGGCGAAAGCTACCAACTTCGCGGCACTCGAATTCGCGATCGGTAGCAGTGGAAGGTCGAAGATAGAAAGGTCACCAGCGAAAGCCAACCTGTCTTTTTTGACGCACTTCGAGGGGTGGTAGTCTAACCTGCCGCCGCTGACCATCAACGACGCCTCCTCAAAGGTGAGCTTGCCGTCTCCCTCGGCGCCGTGCGCAACCTGCCCCAGCGACTGCACCTGGTCAGCAGGGGCGCTCGCCATGATTCGTGGCGAGAGAAAGGCGGGTCGGGCGGTGGCCTTGGATGACGGGCAACAGCGCGTCAGCGTTGATCACAGACGGCCGCGGGTGCCAGCTGAGCACCTGGGGAGGGAGCGACGACGACGAACGACGCACACTGAAGATGGAAGTCAGAAGTAAGAGAGCGTGGGCACGGCGACGATGAGTCAAAGATGTGGCACGGCTGCGGCGGGGACAATCAACGCGACGTCAACCGCGCGCACTCGGGAACACATGCGCGCTGTATTTCTTTTTTGTATGTTAAGAATATATATATGTATATAAACAAAAAATGGACATCGGCACTCCGTAAATAAAAGCACACCCCTCGACATCGGCACTCAGTGCGCCGCGCCCATGACCTCCCAGATGGCATCCGCGGTGGCCGCCCACATATCCTTGCCCTTGTTCCAGTTCTCGAACTGGGCCGAGCGAACCGAAGCCGCGATACGCCTGCTGCCTGGGAGGCCCGTGCGCGTGCCAATGAGGGGTTTTGATGGACCCCCAGGCGCGGTCGATGATCTGCGCCCCTGCCCTCACCCTGATCTTGGAGCCGTCGGGCAACTTGTGGGTGACAACCTTCGAGTAGACTGGCTTCAACCAAACCCACTTCCTGCCGATCTTCTTCCGCTTCTTGCAGTGCACGACGTGGTCGCGCACGAGCCCCGACGCGCGCGTTTTGTAGCTGCGGGCCCCGTCAGAGTGCAAGATGACCTTCCTGTTCTCTAAGCGGCGTTTTAGGAACGGCGCCCAATCCGTCTTCTTGATGGCGCCTGGGCCTGGCGCGTTGGCCTCGGTGCCGCCTGGCTGGGTCTTCCACAGAACGAGGCTATCAGGGCGCCCGCGCTCGACGACGCCCGCCCACTGTTCCCGCGCCTTGGAACGACCGTCGTCGGACAGCTGGGCGCGGAAGACCGACTCATCCGCCTCCGCGTCGAACCATCGCCGCTGAGCTTTGTCGCCGAAGACAACGTTGGGTTCCTTCTTTTCCACGTAGATCTGCCGCGCGGTTGCCACGGCCGCGCTCATGTCCTCGATCATCTTGTGGCCGGCACCTGTCAGCAAGTGTATCTCGGCGGTGGTCATGCCGAGCGTGAGGCAGAAGAGGACCTTGGCCTTCGTCGACAAACTCGACGATTGGCAACCCCCGCCAGACTTGAAGACGGGGTGGGCGGTGCACGGGTTGACGGTCTTGCCGCACAGGCTACCGCTGTTGCATCGCCAATGCGGGCCGCGATTGTCATCCTGCACCCGCGCGCCGCAGGTTCCGACGCCGCAGTGAGGGCAGGTGCGGCCTTCCCAGTCAAGCAGGATGCCATCCTCGAGGTGCAGGTCTACCATCCGGTCCGCAGTTTTCCCGTGGAAGCTGTCGTAGTTGCGGCACCAGGTTTCGCGCCCCTTGCGGGATTTCACGGTCCTCTTCCCGTGGCGCACGTACTCGACCTTCTCCGCTTGCTTCCTGCGCTGGCCCATCCTGTCCTTGCACCTCTTGCGCAAGGGGAACGGCCTGAAGGCACTCGCAGGCCGCTTCTTCGGCGCGGAGGCGGCAGCAGGGCGTTTGATAGCACGCTTTCCCATCGCCGACGGTGGCAGAACGGTGGCCCAGACGGTCGGTTGAGAAAAACGCACTGAGCCAACATGTGCTGCGGGTGGGACTGGGGCCCTCCTTGTCTGGAGGTTCGTCGGCTTCCTCTGGTCGTGGCGGTGGCGCTGTCGGTAGTTATGGTAGGAGTGGTTGTAGTAGCAACAGTAGTAGTGGTGGCAGTAGTACTAGTCGTCGTAGAGCTGTAGCAGCAGTAGTTGCAATAGAAATGGCAGTGGTAGTCGTAGTAGGAGAACACAAGCCCTACGACGCCCGTATCAGAGAGGGCATCCTAAAATCAGGATGCCCTTTTTGTGCAGCAATGCGCCTGTTCACGTTAGACTGAACATGCTTGTCGGCGGCTCCATCGTCGCCTGCTTTTCTGGGTGGGTGGTTCGTCTTGTTGTCTTCATACCATCATTGCACCGCTTTTCCTACGACGCCCGTATCGGAGAGGACATCCTAAAATCAGGATGCCCCTTTTTGTGCAGCAATGCGCCTGTTCACGTTAGACTGCACTTGCTTAGCGGCGGCTCCATCGTCGCCTGCTTTTCTGGGTGGGTGGTTCGTGTTGTTGTCTTGATGTCATCATTGCACCGATTTTCATACGACGCCCGTATCAGAGAGGGCATCCTAAAATCAGGATGCCCTTTTTGTGCAGCAATGCGCCTGTTCACGTTCGACTGAACATGCTTGTCGGCGGCTCCATCGTCGCCTGCTTTTCTGGGTGGGTGGTTCGTCCTGTTGCCTTGATGTCATCATTGCACCGCTTTTCCTGCGCGGCATCCTGCTGATGCCGTTGCGCCGCCCCTCTTGCCTGGCAGAGGCGCGTTCCGCCCTCCATTCCCCCTGGTCCGCCTCCTCCTCCTCCTCCTCCTCCTCTTCCTCCTCGGTCGGCCCCCTGCTTTGCCTCTGGTCGTGCTCCCCGCCGCGCCGTGCCTCTCTTTTCCCGTTAGCGAGCGAAGCGTTATTTGGCCTCGCGGCGGGCTCCTAGAGTTTTGCCGAGTTGTCCTGAGAAATGCGAAGGATGGCCCTCGAGTGAGTGACCCTCCAAGTCGTCCAGTCCTTCAGAAGCTTCGCCGCCTTCGGCGGCAGCTCCTGGTCGCACGCGCGCGAGAAAGCTTCGAACCAGGACTTCCAGGCCTTGAGGGCCTTCGCGTCTGCAGCTCCCTTCGCCTGTGCGTTCTCCTTGGCCGTGTTGCTCTCGGCCAGCTCCCTCGTCAGTTTCAGCGATCGCGCCTGCGCGGGCGAGGCAGCACGGCATCCGAACAGACGGGGGGGATTTCGGTGGCGTGGACTTGCTCGAGTTGCGTTTGCTTCGTGTTTGGTGCTCTTTGCTGGCGGTGCTGTCGTTGCGGTTGCGGTCGTTGCGGTTGCGGTCGTTGCGGTTGCGGTCGTTGAGGTTGTTGCCGTTGCGGTTTTTCTATACGCAGTTGTTTCGTGCGTTTGCGTCCTGCTTGGTTGCCCTTGCGTCGTTGCTGAGTACCCTTGCTGCGTGTGGTGTGTTTGCCGTCGTTGCGACGTTCCTTGGTGCCGTTCCGTCTTTTGCGGTTGCGGGCAGGGTGGTGGTGGTGGTGGAATTTCAAAACGTCGTGTCCCGAAGCTGCTCGGCGAGCTCCCAGTTGTCCGCCGCCTCGCCCTGGCACCACCCAACCTGAGCACGAGCAGGCGGGACAATGCGTTTTGAAGCGCAAAGAGGAGGATAGATCGCAGCCTGCCCTTCCAGGTCCGCGATCTTCTTCAACAGCGGCCTCTGGAATCGCATCTTGAGCTTGTGTTTCGCCGCTTTGACCTTGTCCTTTTTGACTCTGGCCTTGTACACGCGGTTGTTCTCGAGCTTGCGGTCGTATTGCTCCGTGCCGCGTTCGGGGTTGCCCATGGTTTCCCAGCGGGGCGCTGGCTAAGCGAAGCGAAGGCGGCCTTGAACACGCGTGTGCTGCACGAAACAAAAAATGAGAAAGAGAACGGGTGAAGAAGGAGGAAGAGGAGGAGGAACAGGAGGGGGAGGAGGCAAATGGGGAGGAGGAAGAGGGAGGAGGAGGAGGAGGACGAGGAGAGGAGAGGAGGAGGAGGAGGAAGAGGAGGAGGAGAGGAGGGGACGAGGAGAGGGAAAGGAGGAGGAGGAGGAGGAACGAGAGGAGGAAGAGAGGAGGGGGAGGAGGGGGACAGGAGGATGAGGAGGAGGAGGAGGAGGGGAAGGAGGAGGGGGGGAGGAGGAGGAGGAAGAGGAGGAGGAGCAGGAGGAGGAGGAGGAGGAGGAGGAGGAGGAGGTGGAGAGAGAGGGACATCAGGAACATGAGGAGGACGCAGAAATTGGATGCAGAGGTTGAGGAATAGAAATGGGTTGCAACCGATTGTAACGCGGTCGCTTGGATTGAAATGCGCCGCGAAAGATGGAGCTGATCCCTAAGCTTGCAATCCATTGAGCTGCATCCGTTTGGATTGTAATCGAATGGGTTTCGACTGCCAGCGCATCAACACATCACGAAGAAGAGCATGATGAGCGAAAGGCGAGGAACACTAGAGAGATGAAAGGGGAATGTGTATGACCATGTGGGGGGGCGAGCTTATTTTTACACACGCATACATATGCTGCACCACGCCGGTGGAACCACACATATCGCGCACCACATATATATATATATATATATATTGCACCATATTGAGTGCACCACGTCAATTGAACAGCATAGAGCGCACAACCTTGTTTGTGCCAAATCGATTGCGGACCGCATCTATCACATCACACAGACTGTTCCACAATTATTGCACAGCATATGTTGCATAACCATGTAGATTGCACCACACAAGTTGGTCCCCATACATGCCACAATACATGTTGATAGAACACACATTTATTTAATCGCTTCGCTCATTCCGCCGGCCCATATTGTCGCACCGTTGTGGGCTAGCCGAGTTTTGGGGCCTCTTGGGGGCCGTTTTGGGGCCTCTTGGGGCCTCTTTTGGGCCTCTTGGGCGCCTCTTGGGGCGTCTTGGGGGCCTCTTGGGGGCCTCTTGGGGCCTTTTTGGGGCCTCCTGGCCGCCTTCTGGGGCGGAGGGCTCGATTTTTCAGTTCTCTCGAGCCCCTCTTGGGCCGTTTGGGGCCTCTTGGAGCCGTCTCTTGGGCCGTTTCGGGGCCTCTTGGAAGCCGTGGGCCGTTTTGGAGCGTCCGGGCCGTCTTGGAGCGTCCGGAGCCGAAAAAGCCAGAACGCAAAAAAACATATAAAAAACAATGAAAATCAACGATTTTGGCTTCTTGGGGCCCTCTTCGGAGGCCTCTTGGAAGGCCCTTGGGGCGTCTTGGAGGCCTCTTGGGCTGTCTTGGGGACATGTTGGGCGTCTTCGGGCGATCTTTGGCCGTCTCGGGGCCCTCTTGGACCGTCTTGGAGGCTTCTTGGGGACCTCTTGGCCCGTCCTGGGGCCCTGTAACAGAACTCCGGCATCTCTGGCCCGACCTTGCCGGGGACTTGCCGGGACCTTGCCGGGGTACTTTTCGTCCGGGGACCCCCAGGGGCCCCCCCGCGCGCGTGAACTAGAAATACTGTTAACCAGTTACCGGAGATCTTAGCACGCCCTGGCCCGTTGGGCCGGCGAATTTGGGTCCACGCTGGCGACCCTCGTATGTCTATCAGAACTAATGTGATATGGTGTCTCAGTACGATTGGTATGCTCATTGCTTCAAGGACGTCCCTCAGATGGCTTGCATGGTCACGCTTGGTCGGTAGGTTGGCTTATTATATTCATGGCACACTCGCTGGCAATTCGGTTGATTGGCTTGTTGTCTTCATTGGCAGTTTGCAGTTGATTGCGAGCACGCTTTCCCTGGTAATTCAAGACGCTTCTCGTAACCCCACCAGCCCATCCAGAAACTATATCCAGGCAAGTTGACCTGATCAGGCATGTGGGAAGCACGCAGTGGAATGCTGGCTGGGAAGCCGTCATACCCCAGGAGGGGGAGGTTGGAGGAGGAACCAGGAGGATGAGGGGGAAGGGAAGGAGGGAGGAGGGAGGAGGGAGGAGGAAGATTAGGCGGATCAGGACGAGGAAGAGGAGGCGGGCAAACAGCAAGGCCAGGCCTCTTGGATGGTTCTCGGAGTCTTTTCGGATGCCCCTTGAGAGCTTCTTGTAGGCCTGTTGGGGCTTCTTGGGGCCGATTGGCGGTCCCAGGGCTTCTTGAAGCGTCTGGGGTGCTTCGAGGGGGGGCCTCTCGGGAGTCTGTTGGGAGCCTATAGGGGGCATCTTGGAAGCATCTTGGGTACCTCTTGGGGCCCTCCTAGGGCACTCGGGGAGGGGGTAGACGGGGAGGGGGAAACCCCTCCCCGAATGGGAAGAAAGGAGGGTGGAAGCGGCAGCGCTGCAGTCCACTCACGCCCGAAAGGGTTGGTGAGATTTACAGGGCTCACGGCTTTGGGAGCGCGCACCCCCCTGGTTATGTATGAGGAGTCTTCGTCTCGGGTCCAGGGCCGCATTTGCAGGACCCGACGAGGGGCCGAAAGGCATCCCGTGAGCACAAAATCCAACACAGAAATGGCAGTCGTCGGTGCTGGAGGCGGGATGGCGCTTTTGGGCAGCCTCCGCGGGGTGGACTCGTAGCCTCCGGGAGCGCGAACGCGCCGTGATTCACGAAGGATTGTGGCCTCGGGAGCGCGAACCCTTCGTGATTTACTGGGGGGTGTTGCCTCGAAGGCGCTAACCTTTGTGACCGAATGCGTGATAGTCTACCAAATATTGTAGCCTCGGGAGCGCGAATTCGCCGACAGGTGTTAGGGATCGTGGCGTCGGGAGCGCGCGCGCGTTGTGAGCGCGAGCCCAGCGCAATGGGCTCTGTGGCATCGGGGCGCAAGCTTGTCGTAGGTCGCAGGAGGCATGCGGCTTCGGGGGCGCGAGCGCGTCGAAATGTATTAGGAATTGTTGCCTGGGAGCGCGAATATGTTGTACTTTAGACTTGTGGCCGCCGGAGCGCGGACCTGTCGCAATTTACGAAGGATCGGGTCCC